GGCTAAGAAGCCTCTGGGATATCTTCCAGTGTACCAACATTTGAATTATAGGGGTGTCACAGGGAGAAGAGAAAGAGCCAGAAATTGAAAACTTACTTGAAAACATAATAAAAAAAAATTCCCTAATTTGGTGAAGAAAATAGACAGACAGTCCAGGAAGCACAGAGAGTCCCAAACAAATTGGACTCAAAGAGGACCATACCAAGACACATCATAATTAAAATGCCAAAGGTTAAAGATAAAGAATCTTAAAACAGCAAGAGAAAAGCAGACCATTACCTACAAAACGGTTCCCATATGACTATCAGCTGATTTCTCAATAGAAATTTTGCAGGCTACAAGGGACTGGCAAGAAGTATTCAAAATTATGAAAAGCAAGGGCCTACAACCTAGATTACTCTATCCAGCAAATCTATAATTTGGAATTGAAGGACACATAAAGAGCTTCCCAGAAAAGGTAAAGCTAAAGGTGGTCATCATCACCAGGCTATTATTATATGATATGTCAAAGGGACTTATTTATGAAAGAGAAGATCAAAACAATGAATATTAAAATGTCAATAAATTTATAACTATCAATAATTGAATATAAAAAACAAACTAAGCAAACAACCAGAACAGAAACAGAATCATAGATATGGAGATAATTTGGAGGTTTACCAGTTGGGAGGTGGAAGTGGTAGAATAGAGGAAAAGGTTCAGAGATTAAGAAGTACAAACTGATAGGTACAGAATAGAGAGGGTGATGTTAAGAACAGTATAGGAAATTGAGAAGCCAAAGAAGTTACATGCATGACCCATGGTCATGAACTAGGGGGGAAAGTAGAAGGGAATGGGCAGTACCAAGTGGAGAATGGATAAGGGAGGAAAATTGGGACAACTGTAATAACATAATCAATAAAATATAATTTTTAAAAAATGGAAGAAAGGACCCAAGCAAGCCATAGGGTACCATCTCTTGAGTAGAATGGCCAGCTATTTACATCAATCCCTCTCTTCATGGAAGGGGCAGTTATTCCTCCTTCCTGGGACTGGCATGATTACATTATATAAAGTGTCCAGAATAAGCAAATCCATAGAGAAAAAACACAGATTAGTGGTTGCCAGGGGCTGGGGGAGAGAAGGATGAGGAGTAGCTGCTAACAAGTATGAGGTTTCATTCTGTGGTGATGAAATTCTGGAATTAGATGTGATGGTTAAAACTTTATGAATATACTAAAACCATTGAATTATATGTTTTAAAATAAACAAACATTAAATAATAGTGATAACACCAAATGCTGGTGAGATTTCAGAGAAACTTATATATTGCTGGTGGCTGTAGGAAATAGTACAGCCATTTCCATCCTAAAAAACAGTGGGCAGTTTCTTATAACAGTGAATGTGCAACTACCATATGACACAATAATTTGATACTTGGGCATTTATCCCAGAGACATAAAAACCTGTGTTCACTCAAAAACCCATAAATGAATGTTTATAGAAGCTTTCTTTACAACAGCCAAAAACTGGAAACAACCCCAGAGGTTCTTAAACAGGTGAATGGTTAAACATACTGCTCAGCAATGAAAAAGAATGAATGAACTGATACATGCAATAACTTTGATAAATCTCCAGAGAACTGAGTTGAATGAAAAGAGCCAATCCCAAAAGATTATAGACTGTAAGATTCTATTTGTGTAACATTCTTAAAATGACAACATTATGGAAATGGAGAACAGAATGGTGGTTACCAGTGACTAGGGAGAGATGAAGGCAGGAGGGAAGTGGGTGTGGCTATGGAAGGGCAATGTGAGGGTTCTTTATGGTGATGGAAACCTTCTGTATCTTGTTTCAATATCTGTACCTTGGTTGTGATATTGTACTATAGTTTTAAAAGATATTACCATTGGGTAAAATGTATGAAGAGTACATTAAACATATCCCTTTGGATTATTTTTACAACTGCATGTTTACCTATGATTATTAAAATAAAAGTTTAAAAAACTAGTAGGTCACAAGAAGACCACCAGACACCTATTAGAATGTTAAAAATTCAGAACACTGACAACAGCAAATGCTGATGAGGATGTGGAAGAATAAGAACTCTCACTATTTGCTGGTGGGAATGCAAAATGGTACAGCTATTTTGGAAGACAGTTTGATGGTTTCTACAAACTAAACATACTCTTACTATATGATCAAGCTATTATGCTCCTTGGTACTGCCATCTGGTGGTAACTGGCACCAATTTGACACCAACAGAAATCCCCAATTTGGGGTGTGGGGAAGAAGGAAACTTTATTCAGTGCAAAACAGCTCAAGTGTGATACAGCACAGCTGCGAACACAGCATGACTGTAGAACAGCTCTGGGGCCAGGCCCCACTCCACATAGACAGCTCTGTTCTGCATCTTTTTTTTTTTTCAGTTTAGCATTTAATTTTATTTATTTATTATTGTTTATGCTATTACAGTTGTCTCCACTTCTGCATCTGGATGGTCTGTTCTGCCCTGCTCTGCTCTGCTCTGGCCAGACATCGTCCCTGTTTCAGTTCAGCCAGGAGCCTTAGTCTTCAGTTTTCTGTGGAAAGGCAAAGTGTGCTCTCTGGGCTTGTCCATTATTGATCTGTTCTCATACAAATGAGGAACTTAAATTCTTGCAGTTTGATTGGTCTAAAAGGCACTGTCCTGATTGGTCAGAATAGAGCAGCTCTGATTGGCCTGAGCAGCACAGCTCTCATTGGATGGGGAAAGTCTCAGTCCTATTGGTTCAAATAGGATTCCAAGAACTCCTTTATCAGGGCTGTCGAAGATGGCAGACACACAGTGCAGCAGTTCTGTGCTGGCTTCTCCATGAAGGGTAGTTTGTGTGAGAGTCCTTGTGCAGAAATGGCTGCTAGGCTCTGTTTTTTTAAATTGAGCCCAGTTAGCCAATAGGAGACCTTCTTAGTAAGTGCCTTTCCCTACCTAGCCTCCCCACCACAGTTCAGAATATTTACCCAAAGAAATTGAAAGCTTATGTTCACACAAACATCTGCAGATGGATGTTTTTAGAAGCTTTATTAATAATTGCCCAAACTGAGAAGAAACCAAAATATAATTGAACGAGTAAATGGCTAAATAAACTATGGTACCTTTCCATAATGGAATATTATTCAGAGCTAAAACTGAATGAGTTACCGAGCCATGAAAAGACCTGAAAGAAACTCACATGCCTATTTCTAAGTGACCAAAGCCAATGTCAAAAGACTATATACTATATGAGTCCAACTATACAACATTCTGGAAAAGGCAAAAACAAGGAGACAGTACAAAGATTAGTGGCTGCCAGGTGTTAGCAGGGTTGGAGGGATAACTAAGCAGAGCACAGAGGAATTTTAGGTCAGTGATGCTATAAAGGTGGACACACGTAATTACACACTTGTCCAAACCCACAGGATGTACACCACCAAAGTGAACCCTAATGTATGCTGTGGACTTTGGATTATAATGGCGTATCAGTGTAGGTTCATTAGTTGTAGCAAATGCACTGCTCTAGCGAGGATACTGACAATGGGGAAGGCTTTGCCAAGGCAGGGTAGGGAACCCCATCATGTACATAGGAAACCTCTGTACCTTCTGCTTAATTTGCCTGAAACTGCTTTAAAAAGTGTGTTTTTTTAAAGAAAAAAGGATAAAAACAATTAAAACACTAGAATAAAACAGGAATATTGTAAAACCTCAGAGTGGGTAAAGCAGGACACAAAACATAAAGGCCTCCAAAGAAAAAAAGTATAAATTTGATTCATAAATATTTTAAGTTTCTACTTGGAAAAGTTGAAAGACAAATAATAAACTGGACCTAATATTTGTAAAAATATGACAAAATTCCAAATCTGCATTATAGGAAAAGGTTGTATCACTAATAAAAAGCAAATCAATAGAGAACTAAACATGAACAGACCATTTCCAGAAATAAAAATGTAAGTATGAAAAGAAGTCCAACTTCACTCATAATTAAAGAATTATATATTAAAACAATAACTAAATAGTATTTTTCATCTTTCATATCGGCCAAAATGTGAAAGTTTGCTAAAATATGGCATGTTCAAAAGTGTGAAAAAACTGGCACAATCGAAAACTTGCGTCTACACTAAAACCTGTACACAGGTGTTTACAGCAACCTTATTCATAATTACCAAATCTTGGAAGCAACCAAAATGTCCTTCGATAAACTGGAAAAATTGTGGTGTATTATACAATGTAATACTACTTAGCAGTAAAAGAAATGAGCTATCCAGCCACGAAAAGACATGGAGGGATCTTAAATACCCATTGCTAAGTGAAATAAGCCCATTTGAAAAGTCTCTACACTCTATGCTTCTACCTATGCTGTATGAAATTCTGGAAAAGGCAAAAGTATAGAGACTAAAAATAACAGTGTTGCCAGGAGTTGGAGGCATGGGGTGAGAAGAGGAAGAAGTGAACATTTGGAGCACAGGGGATTTTTAGGACAGTGAAACTACTTGCTGTCATGGCAAGTACGTGTCATTATGCATTTGTCAAAAACCATGGAGTACACAGTGCAGAGTAAGCCTTAATGGAAATGAAGGACTTACATGCATACACACAAGCAAAAAAGAAATAAGTGAGTATGACTTTACTACCAGTCCAGGTCACAGTCCCTCACTGATACTCCAAAATACTTAACAACAAAGGAAAAGAGATATCTTAATACAGCACCCGCCTCTCAAAGGAGGCAAACATATATCCAAATGAAAGCAGTTTTGATACAAGCTCTACTTTTCTATGCTATTCAGATAGAAAACTCAGATTCTCTTAAAGAGTAACAAAGGCCATATACCCTAAAAATTCACATTTATGGGTAATCATTCAAAACAAGCTACATATATAGATTGCATAGTCTCTTAACTCATAATATGGGTGAATTTAACTAATTTATTCAAGTAAAACCAAAGCTTAAACATTTTAAAGATTAGACCTTCATAACTTTTAAAATTAATGAAAGAAAACTACAAACTCCTGAACCAAAATTTTATTTTAAATTTTAAAGCATATTAGTGCATATGAAAAATTTTCATAACATGTGACATAAAGATGTTAGCACATTGAGCAATAGGAAATATTTTTATACAACTTTTGAATCACTAATATGCTTATTTCACCTCTGAATATATGCCAAGTTCTCCTAAGTCACCTTTGTCATGGAACATCAAGTAGGTTTAAAATTTTTATATTATTGTTTAATAACTTCCTAATAAGGTTTTGAACTTCTAGTCGACTTACACATAATATTTTTTTCAATGTATTGATTACTGTAATAGCTTTTTCTCTCATCTCTGATGGAACATATCTAGTATCTAAATACTGAGATAACTTTGTTCTAGAATTATACAGCGTGTTAATAACAGTTTCAATGTCATCAGTTTCATAACTGCTTTGCCCTAGTGGTAATACCTGGGACCTATACATCTTACTTAATCTGTGTTCTGCCGCCGCTGCGACGGCGAGGCTCCGTTTCAGCTGCTCTCTGACGGCTTGAATGTCCGCTCTGTACTCTGGCTTGAGGCTCTCAGCAAGAGGTACCTGATGCACTTTTGAACTAATATCTGAAATTTTTTTCAAAATTTCTTCATTACCCAAAACGAGTGGGTGTTTTTCAAATGTTTGTGTTTCATAATCGCCTAAGAGCTGAGGAACATCTTCTAGATCCGTGGAGGTATCCCAGTCGGTGCTCCCACTTGAAGAGCTGGGAGGATACTCAGTGACATACGGCCACATCGGGGCCTCGGTTTGTTTGACTTTGGGCTCTGGCTCTGGCTCTTCTCTTTCAACATAAGGCTCCTTTGCGCGTAAAACAACAGAAATATTGCTTGGTTTAATAGACCAGAATGCTGTGCTTTTAGTATGTTTTTTCCTCCTTTGTTCCGGTGAGAAGCTTCTAGTCGGGAAACTTGTAATTTTATCACTCACAGGGGTCGTTACAACATTCTCAGCTAAAGCTTTGTCAGGTGTAATTATCGCCTTAAGTTTTGATACCTTCGTTTTCATAGAGTAAACAGTATTTGGAGACTCTGATTTTTTCTCAGTGGCTGGCTCCCTAGTGGGAACACTTAGTAGTAAGTTCTGTAAAACTTGTACATAATGATTCACATTTTTTTCTTCATCAGATGTCACAGTGTTGCCTTAAGGGAAAAACAAGCAAACAATGAGAATCATTTATTATGATATATGACATATTGACAAAATATACCCAAATTTACTTCATGTGATATCACTTAAAAGTTAAGGTAAAACCCTGGTTGGGTGGCTTAGTTGGTTGGAGCATCAGCCCATACACATAAAGGTCGTGGGTTCAATCCCTGGTCAGGGCACATACCTAGGTTGCAGGTCCGATCCACAGTCAGGTCCAGTACACTAAAAAGCCTCTTCATGGCTGTGTATCAACACCCTACCTTGTACCTTGCTTTGCTTCATTTTTTTTCATGTACCATTTGTCTTTACACTGTTGTCTTGCTAAATCCATCCTCTCCCCACACACTTCCCATCTGCTACTTTTGTCTCCCTAAAATATCTACATGTTTCATATTGACCTTCTCAGTTCTACTAATCAGAACTGCTCTTGCACATCAACTTGGTCTTTATAAAAATGTTTGCAGGCAAGGTAGTAAAAGAGAGTCAAGCCTCAAGTATCCTTACAAATGGCCCTGGCCACTATAAACACATGCTTTATCCCATTTTTTAGGAGAAGCTAGAAAGAAGAACAAACTTCAAACTCTTACAAAGATTGGGCTACTCTGCTAGAAGTTGTGTTATTAAACTTTGACTGTTTGTGGCCTATACTGGTGTACTTTATAATATCTCCTCTATTTTACCAGTTAGTGATCCAACCAAACACAACAATGTCTTGGAACATGGCTAAACTAAGAGTCCCTTCCACTTTGAAAAACCATAATGCTGCTTCCCAGCACCTCTAGTTAACGGGATGGCTACCTGCTAAGCAGGCTTGAGGTTGGTAAGAATCACAGATATGGACGTTATAGCTGAGGTTGAGGCTGTCTGCACTTCTCTTCTTGAAACAGAACGGGGAGAATTAGTCACGTGGCAAACAATAGGAAAGTAAACAAAATGGTAAACAACTGCAGGAACAAAGTGGCACACAGTCTGAAGGGGAAATTAGAAAATAGTGATTAGAAAGACCATAACAGCTTCAACTGGCTGAGCAATTACTCTGTGCCAGGCACTATATACTGTGGCCTTTGAATGTGCTTTTATGAAGAGGGAAAGGAGGCACTTAGAAAGGACAAGTCATTTGCCTAAGATTATATCCAACTTGTCAGTGGTAGGAATGGGGTTCGAACACACGCTGTCTTGCTTCAAAGCAGGTACATGCAATGACTACACAGTGTTGTCATAAAAAGATGACACAAGGCTGCAGGCAAAGCAGTAGGTATATAGCGATAGAATTGTCTGGGAAGAACACAACTCTATTTTAAAATACATGTGAACATTAAAATATAATCAGTCAACAAATAAAATGAGATTTTCAAAATATACAAAAGTTTGCTCTACTGAAATGGGACCAGTTACCTTTGATATATTAAGATGTATTTTGAAATATGAAAAATATCTGATCCAAATTTAATATATTTTCTTACTATAAAATATAGGCAAAAACTGACAGTTGATGACTTACAAAAGAATAAATTCCCTTCACACAGAGCTAAACAGCAAATTAATTACTTTTGAGTTTATTCCAGGAAAATGATAGAAATCATAATTTAAAATGAACAATGAAATATTAAATTTCAATCAACAACAAAAAATACATTCAAAACATGTATTTCCTTCCCATAGAAGGGCCAATTAAAGGAGGAAGAAGAGAGAATAAGGGGCAACATAAAAGCCAATTAGCGTGAAAACTTTCTAAAATTCACTGTTCACAAAAGAAACACAAATTAAAAACAATTTTTATTATGCCAGTCAAGCAGGAAAATTTTTTTAAACAATAAAACCTAGAATTGTACACTGAAATTGAGAACAGGCTGACAGTGACCAGAAGGAAGAGGGGAGGCAATTTCAGGGGAAAAGCAGGAGGGTTTGCAGGAGCAAGTATAAAGGACACATGAACAATAACAAGGGGGGTGTGGAAATGGGAGGGAGGTTGGGAGGGCTTGGGGAGGGGGGTGGGCTGGGATGGGGGGTAAAAGGCAGAAAACTGTACTTGAACAACAATTAAAATAAAAATAAAAAAATTTTTTTAAACCCTAGAATTGTCATGTGCATATATTACCTCCCTAGTAAAGAAAGTAACTTCCTTACTTTCCTTATAATCCTGACATCCTTCATTAATCCATTTCTAGTACACTGATTTTTTCTTTATAGAATTTAGGATAATTTTATCTGTATATATTTGTTTCATGATTGTTAACTGCTACATAGTGTAAGCTCTTTGAGACTGTGACAGTGTCTGCTTTGTTCTCTGTATCCCCTCGCCAGTGCCTAGAGCCACAGTAGGCAATTAAAAAGCATTTGTTAATTGAATGATTGAATGAATAAACCAAAAGCTGGAAGTATGTAAATTAATTGTGCCTCCAGTAATTTATCTTAAATAAAGAAAAATGTATAAAATAAATGTTGTTGAGGAAAACTCAATTTCATGTTATGTTTAAAATAGACCCACTGGCCCTGACTGGTGTGGCTCAGTGGGTTGGTCACCGACCCTGCAAAGCAAAAGTTCACAGGTTCAATTCCAAGTCAGGGCACATGCCTGGATTGTGGGCCAGGTCCCCTGTTGGGGACATGCCAAGAAGCAACTGATCAATGTTTCTCTTGAACTTCCATGCTTCTCTCTCTCTTTCTCCCTCCCTTCCCCTTTCTCTAAAAATAAATAAGTAAAATCTTTAAAAATTCATTAATTAATTAAATCTGCTGGTCTAAAAACTGTTTTTGTTTTTGTTTGGCTTTTGGAAAGTGAGAGAGGGGTTGCGTTAATTATCCAATAATTATTAAGGGAAAAATCTGGGCAATAAAATAATGTTCTCTTATTTTAGGCCAAGCAGGCAGTTTTTATAACAGAAGATACAGCTTTAACCATATTTTCCTAAATTCCTAAGTCTGAAGTTTATCTAAAACAACATCATGAACATTGAAGCTCAACAGTTCCAGTGTTCAGGAAGCCCCCGCATGTCTTCTAACTGCCCTTGCTAAAGTATAAGTTCAGGTCACTAAATTTAACTAAATTTGCTTAAGTTCTATTAATTTCATATCATTGAATTTTATCATCCCTAAAGGAACACTGCATTAACATAATTTTAAGTACATTATAATCTTACACAATGTTAATGTATCTTCATAATTTATCTAACCCATATTTTAAGGGAGACAATTCAATAATTTTTGGTATATTCAGTTATGCAACTGTCACCACCATCTAAGTTGAAAACAGTTTCATCATTTCCCAAATAAATGCATTCCAAATTGCCCCATCCCTCAGCCTAGGCAACGACTAATCTACTTTCTGTGTCTATGGATTTGCCTGTCGTATACATTATACATAAATAAAATCACACGATATGTGGTCTTCTGTGGCTGGCTTCTTTCACTTAGCACGTTTTTAAGGTTATCTATATTGTAGCATGTGTCAGTATTTCATTTCTTTCTTTCTGTGGTATCAATTGTTACTTCTCTTTCATTTTTTATTTTATTTGCTTGGGTCCTTTCTCTCTTTTTCCTTTTTCCCCCTTTTTATTGAATTTTATTGGGGTGACAGTGGTTAACATTATACAGGTTTCAGGTGCACAATTCCACAACACATCATCTGTACACTGTACTGTGTGTTCACCACCCCAAGTCAAGTCTCCCGCTACCACCGTTTATCCCCCATCCCCTCCTCCACTGCTCCCCATCCCCATCCCCCTCTTTCCATCTTTTTCTTGATGAATGTGGTTAAAGGTTTATTAATCTTGTTTATCTTTTTTTAAAAAGCAGGTATTGACTTCATTGACCTTTTATATATGTATCTGTATATATAAATTTATACTATATTTAATATATACTATATATAATAGTATACACACACACACACACACACTGTTGTTTATTTCTTCTTTGACCACTTTGGACTTTGTTTTTCTTCTTCCAGTTCCTTTAACTGGAAAGTTAGATTATTTATTTGAGATTTTTCTTGTTTCTTGAGGTAGGCCTGTAATGCTACAACTTTCCCTCTTAAGACTGACTGCTTTTGCTGGGCCCCATAGATTTGGGGTTGTGTTCTCATGTTCATTTATTTCAAGGTATCTTTTTATTTCTTACTGACCTCATTGTTAACTCATTTATTGTTTAGGAACATGTTATTTTCCCTTCATGTGTTTGAGCATTTTCAGTTTCTTCCTTTCTTGTAACTAGTTTCTAGTTTTATACCATTGTGGTTAGAGAAGGTGGTTCATATGATTTCAAGCTTCCTAAATTTATTGAGATTTGTTTTGTGTCCTGACAGGTGGTCTACCCTAAAAAATGTTCCATGTGCACTTGAAAAGAATGCATATTTTGCTGCTTTGGGTAAAATACTCTAAAAGTATCAATTAAATCTATCAAGTCTAATGTGTCATTTAAGACTGCTATTTCCTCTTTGATTTTCTGTCTAGAACATCTGTCAGTTGGTGTCAACGGGCCAATAAAGTCCCCTGGCATGGCTGTTTTACTGTCTATTGCTCCCTTTATGCCCATCAATACTTGCTTTTTATATTTAAGTGCTCCTATGTTGGGTACATAAATGTTTACAAAGGTCATATATCCTCTTGCTGGATTGATCCCATTATTATTATGTAACATCTTTTTGTTTGTTTGTTTCTTGCTATAGCCTTTGTTTTAAAGTATTGTGTCTGATATAAGTATTGCTACCCCAGGTTTTTGTTTGTCTCTGTTTACATAAAATGTCTTTTTCCATCCCTGTACTTTCAGTCTGTGTGTGTCTAATTTCAAGTGGGTCTCTTGTAGGCAGCATATTAATGGGTCCTGTTCTCTTATCCATTCAGCTACCCTATATCTTTCGATTGGAGCATTTAATCCACTCACATTGAAGTGATTATTGATAGGTAGTATTTACTGACATTATATTATTTATATTAATGTTCCTCTTTTATTTCTTTCTTCTGAAAGAAATCCCTTTAACATTTCTTGTAAT